GGTGTATCTCTAACCTTTGAATGTTTTTTATTTTTGGATAGATTGTTGTATTGTTCTCTGTGCCTCCATTGTACAGATGATCATGGTCATTGAAGGTATGCAGTGTTTCAGTGTTGTCCCCAGATGCAGGTGTAGGGGAAGCGTCCATTGGGGACACCTGTATAAGAGGGGAATTGTCATCCCTGTGGAAGATTTCCTTTCCCTTCCTGTTAGGTCTGCAGTAGGAAGTGAAGGAAAGGTGCCCAGCCATTGCAGTCTAGTCGTTCCTTGGTCTATGGCGAGGTATCTGGGTGCTGTGCAGAGTGGAGCAGAGCAGTGTGAGGTTAGAGAAGGGTAGGTGAGTGTTCTCAGTCATGTAGCACACTGAGGTTAGCACACGGGGGATTTCTCCGCTCAGCCTCCTACTGCCAGTCATAACTTGCAGCCGAAATAGCATGAGCCGGCCTGTGAAGTGCTGACTGAGGTTTCTTGGGGACACGAAAAGAGAAACTGAACTAAAAAGCCCAGTCATGACTCCAGTCAATGGTAGAGACATAGAGAGCGCAGCAGCACGGAGCCCACACAGCAGCGAGCGGGCCACTTGTCAGCCTCCGTCACGTGATGTAAGGCAGCACGTGTTCCCTGCTCCCCTACTAACAAGACTCGTCCCGACCGAGCAGAGTCCCTATGGAAAGCCGGCGCTTAGCATACGAACGCAGCCAGCCCCCGCCTCCCTCCATACTCACCTATTGGTCACTCTTATTCACAAAGGTAAACCAAGGGAGCCATCTACATGACAAAGCGGGAGTTTGTCCGTGCTGTGAGTGCGGGGACACCCACCGGGCACAGTGTGTTGTGAGGTCATACAGGGAATGAGCCGGCCTGTGTAGTCAGTGAGCTCGGAGCTCAGACAATCCCAGGTAAGGCTGTAGCCACACCCTGCCTGTGTCATCGGACACACTTGTAACCGGAGAGCAGCTCAAAGAGGAAGCAGCCTGAGTATAGCTGTGTGTGCGAGTGTGAGGAGGGAGCCAGTCCTCCTCCGAGCTCCGAACACTGCACCCCGCACCTGCCTACCACTATGAGGAGACACTGTCCGCTACGTACCGACACCGGGAACCACCGACACCTACAGCACACCGACTCCTGAGACTCAATGACTCACAGCTGTGTGCAATCTGTCCCGGTAAGTGCCCCTTACCATTACTACTACTAACCTCTCCGTTCTCCATACCATGGAACACCGATGGAAGAGAGACCCAGTGCTCCGTCCGGAGGACTGCTAGCCCGACCTCATTGTCTCAGGAGACACCTGGGGCTGTCACTACTGTTCAATAATACCACTTACTGCCCATTGACTCCATCACCGCCTCGGCTGGAAGTAAGAGCCCGGCATCCACTACTCCGGCACCCTGGGATACACTCCTCTGACCCGCCGGTCAAACAATAGCCCTCCACTCCTTTCTCTTTCTTTCTCTGGCTTGTGTTCGTTCTCTTTTTTTTTTTTTTTTCGTTCTTCTTCTTTTTTTTTTTTTCTTTCTCTCCTTTTTTTGCTTTCTCTCCCTCTCTCCATTTTTTCTTTCTCTGTTTTGCCTTCTTTCTCCCTTTTTTTTTTTTTTTTTTTTTTTTTTTTTTTTCTTTTTCTTTTTCCCTTTTCTCTTTCTTTATCTCTTTTTTTTTTCTCTCTCCTCTTTATCTCTCTTCATCTCTCTTCTCTCTCCTCTTTATCTCTCTTCATCTCTCTTCTCTCTCCTTTTATCTCTCTTCATCTCTCTTCCTCTCCTTTTATCTCTCTTCATCTCTCTTCTCTCTCCTTTTATCTCTTTCATCTCTCTTCTCTCTCCTTTCTTTATCTCTCGTCATCTCTCTCTTCTCTCTAATCCTTTCTTTATCTCTCGTCATCTCTCTTCTCTCTCTTCTCTCTCCTTTTATCTCTCTTCATCTCTCTTCTCTCTCCTTTTATCTCTCTTCATCTCTCTTCTCTCTCCTTTTATCTCTCTTCATCTCTCTTCTCTCTCCTTTTATCTCTCTTCATCTCTCTTCTCTCTCCTTTTATCTCTCTTCATCTCTCTTCTCTCTCCTTTCTTTATCTCTCTTCATCTCTCTCTTCTCTCTCCTTTCTTTATCTCTCGTCATCTCTCTCTTCTCTCTAATCCTTTCTTTATCTCTCCATCTCTCTTTCTCTCTCTTCTTTCTCACTCCTCTTTCTTTTATCTCTCTTCTTTCTCTCTCCTCTTTCTTTTATCTCTCTTCTTTCTCTCTCCTCTTTCTTTTATCTCTCTCCTTTCTCTCTCCTCTTTCTTTTATCTCTCTCCTCTTTCTTTTATTTCTCTCTCCTCTTTCTTTTATCTCTCTCCTTTCTCTCTCCTCTCTTTCTTTTATCTCTCTCCTTTCTCTCTCCTCTTTCTTTTATCTCTCTCCTTTCTCTCTCCTCTTTCTTTTATCTATCTCCTTTCTCTCTCCTCTTTCTTTTATCTCTCTCCTATCTCTCTCCTCTTTCTTTTATCTCTCTCCTCTTTCTTTTATCTCTCTCCTCTTTCTTTTATCTCTCTCCTCTTTCTTTTATCCCCCCTCTCTCTCTCTCTCCTGTTATCTCTCTCTCTCTCCTCTTTCTTTATCATCCCCCCCCTCCTCTTTCTTTTTATCCCCCTTTCTCTCTCTCTTGCTCTCTAGCTCTCTATCTCTCTCTAGCTCTCTCTCCTCTTCTCTCTCTCTCCCCCTCGCTCTCTAGCTCTCTCCCCCTCGCTCTCTAGCTCTCTCCCCCTCGCTCTCTAGCTCTCTCCCCTCGCTCTCTAGCTCTCTCCCCCTCGCTCTCTAGCTCTCTCCCCCTCGCTCTCTAGCTCTCTCCCCCTCGCTCGCTCCCCCTCACTCTCTAGCCACCTCTCTCGCTCTCTAGCTATCTCTCTAGCTATCTCTTCTCGTTCTCTAGCTCCCCCGCTCTCTAGCTATCTCTTCTAGCTCTCTCTTGCTCCCTCTAGCTATCTCTTTTCTCTCTCTCTCTCGCTATCTCTCTACCTATCTATCTCGCTCTCTCTTCTCTACCTCTCTCTCGCTCTCTCTCCTTTCTTTATCTCTCTCTCTCTAGCTCTCTCTCTCCTCATTCTTTATATCTCTCTAGCTCTCTCTTGCTCTCTCCCCTCTTTCTTTATCTCCCCCTCTTCTCTCTCTCTTCTTTCTCTCTAGCTCTTCTCTCTCTCCTCTTTCTTTTATCTTTTTTATTTTGCTCTTTTTTCTATTTCTTTTTCTTTTTTTCTCTCTCTCATATATATGCAGCAAGGTTCACACACACATAAACCTGAATCTCAGTATCATAACCAGTCCAAGGCTTTAATCACTGATGTTTGGGGTCAGAATGTGGGTCACAGCCCACCTTTATGGAGGTGTTAGTAAGGCCCTTGTGACCCAGTGTATCATCAGTGAATAAAGCCTTGGATTGTTGTGGAACTTTCCAATACCTGGAGGTCCCTGAGCTTCATGTTTACCTGTTGGATATCCCTGACAGGGTGCATTCAGGACTTTTACATTATCATGTGCAGAGATCAGCTACCTATATCTATCCATCTGTTTTGCTGTTTTGCGTGACGTTGAGTCTAGATCTATTTTAAGTTGCATTTTGTGTGTGTTTTATTTGAAGTGGCTGGGTAGTACAGCTTCATTAGGAATTCTAGATGTGTGTAGACTGGGGTCTAGGCCAGCTGTCCTGAATGATTTGATGACCCCAGTATGATTGCAAGGTATGACTGTATTCGATGGAGTCACTTGTGTAGGTGCTGTGAATACGTTCTGACCGTGAAGGAGTTAAGACCCCCCCCCTTCCCCTCCCTTCCCAACAGTCTAGGAGATTTTGTTGCTTCAAGGGATGCTTGGCAGGATGTCGAAGATTTTTTTTATTTTCTTTAACTTCAACAGGATGAAAAAAAAGACGTCAGAGGGGGATAGGTTGTTTTGAAAGTTGTTTGTGAGCTGGAAGCTGGTGGGAAAGTTCAGGCTTCCCCATTCGGAAGAGTCAGGCAGAGTTCCGCTCCTTGAAGCATGCGAGTTCCAATTTTAGCTTCATTCAGACGTCGACAACATCTCCTTCCTCTTCCTTTCCTTGTTTGTGACACTTTCTAAGGCAGCACTTCCAATGGGACACAATCATCTTGTAGTTATCACCAGAGCAGAGAGCATGCGAGAAGCTGTTCACTGACAAGCACTCTCCTTAGGACAGGTAGGCAGTGTTCCCTAATCCATAGCATATGATGATCACAAATCGGGGATATTAAGGAATGACTTTATTTATACAATGCAAATGCTCTTTTATGCATAATATTGATTTTGTGTCATCTGGATATTTCTGTGCTATCTAATTGAAAAGAGAACATTCTGATGGAAGCAGTTCTACTAGTCTAATACTGGCTTCAAGGAAATAAAGTTGAACTTATTCAGTCTCATCCTAAATATTATACAGTTTTAGTTGAACTACAGCAGTTTCCATCAGAAATTTCTAGGCTCCATGCACACTGAGCATTTTTAATAACGCTGGTGTAAAGTCACATAAAAAACTTGAGTTTTCAGCGTTTTGTAGCGTTTCTTGGCAGGGTTTTTGTGGGGGGGGGTGTTTTTTGGTTTTTTTTTTTTAGGTAAAACAAAAAACAAAACTGCTATTTTGCAGTGAGTTTTCGCATTTTGCTGCATTTTTTATGGTTAGAGCGTTTTACAGCTAAAAAACTCCTCTAGAAACCCACTAGTTTTGGGTTTTTTTTCCAGCCAAAAAATGCCCCTGCCAAAAAAAGCTGATTACAGTCTGTGTGTGTGTGTATGGACACATAGGATAACATGCTGGGGGGTTTACTGGCTGTAGAAAAAACAGTCAAAAGCCAAAAACAGCCGCTGTAAAAACGTCCAATGGGTATGAGGACTTAAGCAGGTGTTTTTTCTCTAACTTATTTGAACCCTTTTTCTTTGTATTCCAGGCTGCCACGCAACACAGAAATATTCCAAGTTTTGAATCTCCCCAACCAGAGGGGACATAGCAGACCATGAAAATGGACATGGAAGGAGTGGATATGACACTTTGGCCAGAGGCAGAGTTTGAGGAAAAATGTACATATATTGTGAAGGATCACTCCTCGGATAGCAGCTCAGATGGAGGGAGTGCTGTGCAAGCACAGGCTTCACTGCCTAGGAACTTACTTTTTAAACATGCCACTGACAGCAAGGAGGTCAGTAATTTTGGAATGGCCAATTTGTCTTTTGAGTATAATGCTATATTTCCTGTATTATCTGGATGGACAACCTTGTTTGTATTTCCTAACCGCTTTCTAGTATTAGCAATATTATTTGGTTTATTTTTGTAGGTTTAACCATACTGTTACAATTTCAGCTTTTATTGATCTTCAGTAATAGTAATTGAACAGTTGCTTTGTGTCTTGTATACATTTAACATTTTAGGTAAAAAATTTAGTTTAAACAGCTATTTCCACAAATAGGTTTTAGACTTGGGAAACTGAGTATAGCTGCCTTGGTGTCACTTGAGGTTCTGACTCACCTTATCTAAGAAACCCTAAAGTGGGCCATCTGTCTAGTGTAGTGTGGGTTTTTTTTTTTTTTTCTTTTTGGTGGTTTTTTTTTTTTTTTTTTTTTTTTTTTGCATTTCCCAGCAGACAAGAGACCAGTCCATTAGTGAGTGGGTGCATTCTTTTCGTTTTTGTTTTTATAAGGGCTGTGAAGTGAGCCAGGATGAGCAACGGGGCTGTTTACATTTTTATATGGCAATTATAGCTAGGTGTACTGCTGCGGTGATCAGCTGGGTTGTAATCTCCAAGACCTTCCTTTGTGCTACTGCATTCCACAGATTTCCGGCAGAGCAACTTCTTAAACTGTTTTCCCATACTGTAACCTATCTTATAGATGTGCGGCTGTGGTGATGTATATTCAGATGAACACACTTTTTAGGATATTGTTATGATTTTGTATGTTTTATTCTATGAACATTTCCCAGCTATGCCTCCAAAATGTTGATGGTACGATCACTTGCTGGTAGACTTGTTGAAAGCACTCCTTTCTTAATTGTCAGTATTTTCATCCCTTAAGAGCAGAAGTAAATATTTTGTAACCTCTTGCTGCTTAGTATTAAACGTCCCACCTGACTTATTTTGGGCACACATTACCCAGCACTTGTAAGTGATTATGCTGTTTTGAAGTAAGGTTTGGATGATAGAGTATTTCAGTGCAGATGTATGTAAGAAAATTTTTGGTTACTGTAGAGCAGGGGTCTCCAAACTTTTCATTCAAAGGGCCAGTTTACTGTACTTCAGACTTTAGGGGGGCCGGATTGTGGTCAGTGGGGGATCAGGGTCCGTTAGAATAAACATGGCCTCAGGGTTGGTGGTCAGTAAAAGGAAGAGTATTGCCCCATCATTGCCATTAGTGGAAGGAATAGTAACCTATCGTTGGTATCAGTGGAAGAAATAGTGCATCATTGTTGGTGTCAGTGGGAGGAATAGTGCCTTGTGTCATTCAGAGGAATAGTGCCCCAAGGGCCAGTTAAAGGCTGGCAAAGGGCACCAGGTTAAAGGCCCCAGACCACAGTTTGGAGACCTCTGCTCTAGAGGCTTGTCAGTTCTATGAAGATGGAGTGATAGCTTTCTATCTCTGGTTAGCATTGAGGGGTCCCACGGGTTTTTACAATAGTATAGTAATCTTACTATCCTTTGAGGCATTCCTAGAAAGAATAAACCAATCTGTTTAATACAGACACTCCTCTAATATTATTCAGGATTTATAGGGTGCCAAAAGTTTGCACAGCACTTTACAATCCTCTTACAGTTATGTGATTGGTGAATAGCGATTAAAAAATATCTTTATAATAGCATTTTCCCCGGATAATTTAAAATACACATTTTCCATGCCGATATTGGCTAAAAAAAAAAAAAAAAAAAAAAAAGCACAGAGCATACCCACAGGCCACCTGTATTTAACATCTTCTCCCTTTGCCTTGTTTTCCCTATTTCTCACCTTTCTGTGGCTTGTAAGTGGGAGATGGGTTGCTGTTTTGTGTCTGTTATGCCACTGGTTATTGAGCAGCACATCATGGTCCAGAAAAATGACAAAGATTGATTTTGTAAATTGGAAGAAAGGTCATTGGTGCTTGTAAAGAAATTGAGTAAGTTGGGTTGGAAAAAGATTAAGTATGGGGGTTGCTAAAAGCCCTTTACTGTTTCTCCTGAAGTGTTTATAGTAAAGGCCTTGCCCCAGCAATGAATCATTAGGGCTTGTGGGCCTGTTCCGGTGGCATTTTCGTTCCAGTTTAGATTAGCAGTGCTGTAATGGATTTCTAAGCACTTAACGAAGTAGTGTAGGTAGACAACCCAGAACTGTTCTATGTTCCCAAAATCCTGAGACATAAGGTAACCTTTTATGTTATCCTGCTTGCTGCAGTTCACTTTCCATGAGCATTACTTGGTTCTAAAATCATTATTATGCTTTGTCCTATACAAATTTGTTCTGTATGTCGCATTGAAAATAAGTTTGTTTCATACTTGTAAACTGATGTCTCAGTCCTAGTCATTTCAGCAATGCTGTGTCACTAAAACTGAAGTGCCAGATGTTTCTCACTTGACTCTTTCAAGTAAGGGGGTTTTCAAGAACTACTTACAAGTGCACGATGCTACAAGAACATCACAATGTAAAATCGCTTTGCATGAAAGTTGTGTGGGGATGTTTGAAACCCACTGCTCAAGAATTAAAAGGAGCAGATGAGCAATGGCTAGACAAAAACATCTGCTTTTGTTAGTTGATGGTTTTACCTAGAACTTTCATCACATAACCTTTAACAATCCCTCCCTCCTATTTCTTGTCCAAAAGTCTACATCTTTCATTATGAAAGCGAAACTCAGTCTTAACCAAAATGCACAGGATGGAACTGAAATATTCGTTGCTGAGGGTTTTCAGTCTAATCTTTCAAAGTTTGGGCAAAAGACACCAAATGTATTTTTTCTAATGATCTTGGTGAATGGATTTTTATTTTACTCAGTTATAAGACTTTTACATTGTTCACAGTGCTTTATAGAGAATGTTGAGCCATTCACAACAACAGTCCTGCGCTGAAGGAGTTTACCATCTACTGTCTATAGCACAGTCATATACTTGTAAACAATAGAAGGCCAGTTTGGGTGGATGCCACCCAGCACAATTTCAGACTATGGAAACGCCTGTAAACATGGGAACAACGTGGAAACCATTTTCTTGTTTTATAAATCATCCCACACACATGTTCTGTTGGCTAGAACAGGCTTGGACCTAAAACTGTTTACTAATTAGAGGAAGTAAGTTAATTTACCATATCTGCCAGTGTCCAGGTAGTTGAGGTACAACGTCAACCCTGGGCTGAATTCGCTCTATAATCTAGGCACACAGAAGTATCCAATTCCAAGCAGATTCTTTACAGTAGATGGGCTGCTTACTGCAAAAGTGCAGGGGCCTAAAATTGCTGATTTTCCACTTCTGTTTACTTGACATCATCAGTAATTAAAATAGTAGACTCAATACATGCTTTGCCATAGAAAACCATTATCTTGTCTCTTGTGACAGATTTGCTTTATTTAAATGTTTGTGTGTGTTCTCAGCCCTGGTAACTCAAGAAGTATAACAGTAAGATCCAACCTTGAACTACTTTTCAATCTAAACAAGTTTTTGTGATCTATACTGCCCTCTATTGGCACACTGTAGTATCAAACATTTGTCAGTGTTTCCTCTCCTATTGTCTCCCTACTACAAAATATTTACATTGGCACAAATTTTAAATGTGAAGAGGAATGTTAAACGGCACATGATCCTTTATTTTCACACACACACACACACACACACACACACACACACACACACACACACACACACACACACACACATTTTACACACACACACACACACACACACACACACACACACTACTTGAGCAGATTATGCTGAACTGAAGATTCTAATGTTTTTCCTCTTACTTTGACAGGTGCTTGGTGTTCTAAGTAAAGAGTATATTCCTAAAGGGACTCGATTTGGACCATTAGTTGGAGAGATCTACACCATAGACACCGTTCCAAAGAATGTTAATAGGAAATACTTTTGGCGGGTAAGTCACTAGATGCCTACATTTAGTTTTACGTAAAAATTGTTTTGTAAATGTGTATAGCAGATAGCTCTTTTAAATTATTTTCTGTGCTAATCATAGAAAGTGTAGGACAACTTTGTAACTGAAATTTACCCAATGCCTGTATTTCTTGGTCGTTTCACATTGTTTAGTGACCATTGGGAACTGAAAGCAATGTCACCAATTTTCTCTAGCAGTGCCCATAAAACCTACTTAAGGAAATGATGGCAAATCACTTCCTTTCTGATATAATCCACATCCTGCTGGCTGTGATACAAGTGTTGGCTAGAAAAGCAAAGTTCCCTTCATCTCTTATATAGAAAAACGAGAGGATGTTTGGGGTTGAGCAAACCCCTATAGTGACACAGTTTCTTGTAAATGTACTGTGAGTCAGCACCTTCACTGTGCTCATTCGTACATGGAAACGGATTGGTTTTAGGCAGTTTCTTTTGTTTCGCCTCACACTGCTGCCTTTCCTGAGTTAGTATTTACCTATGTAAACCTTGTTTCTTAACATGTCCGCCTAATACTGAACTGTATTTTAAAATTGATTGTAAAAATGTTACAATTCTTACATAAAACAGATATAACCTATACAGGGTTAAAGTATTAGACACCATTCCCGGACAAAACTGGCCCATATGTGGATATTTAGCAAAATCGCTTGTATAGCATTTCTTTTAAATTCTTTCTTTGCATTTTTGTTCTAATTCTTTGCTACATTCACATCAGATGATAATGTATAGCTTAAACGTACTAGCCAATTCAAAGAATGAGACAGGAATCTGAATCCTCCAGACGATTCAGACTGAACCCTTGTATAGAAGCACTGTGAGGTTAGATGTTTGTATAGAAGGGATCATCAGTCTTTCCTGCAGTCTCACTTTCATGAGCAGAACAACGTGATAAAATAACCATAAAAAGTTTTGTCTCGTGGCATTTTTACTCTAATTGTACTCTGTCTTAGCACTTCATTGTGTTTTTTTTATTTTTAACCCACGGATTGCGAAGGTGAAGGATTTTTGTTTTTTCGTACATGCACAAGACACAATAACACAAGACTGTGCTTGTCTCGCAAGAGGAAAAGTGAGTGTCTTGGCTAAGCATGAATGACAGTGCTGGCCATGTTCCAGGTCTGCTCATTGTTATGGCAGGTGAAGTTCACCTTTGCTCCACCCAGTGTTCTGACAAACGGCTGCATTCCAAGTGTTTATATGATTAAGTGTTACTTTAGTCCTGTTAGGGGAGGGAGGTGGAAAATTGGGACATTCAGGGAAACTGCAAGTGCAAAATCCTGTTTAGTTTGACGTATTGTTAATGAGCCTGAACTGACTCAGTGCCTTATAATAAGACTGTATCATTACAGATGAAGTTGACATGGTTAAATCATCATGGCTATTAAAGGAAGGAGGGATTTTTATAGCACAGCATAATTGCAATAATAATACAGCCTAACCAGATGTGCCATTTGATTTTTATGAATATTATGGGAGAAGTAATGCACATAATAGAAGTACAGAAAGCTATTGTAATGTCACTTGGTAACTCTCACAATTCCGAAAATATTCTTGTTCCTGTATGATAGGCATTCTAGTACCAGTACAGAATCAAACATATAGCACATAAGTCTTGTTGTTGTTAATGAGAATGCTTTCTCCTTACAGATATATTCAAATGGGGAATTTAACCACTATATTGATGGGTATTATGAAGAAAAGAGCAACTGGATGCGCTATGTAAACCCAGCACATTCCATTCAAGAACAGAATTTAGCAGCCTGCCAGAATGGCATGAATATATATTTCTATACCATCAAGGCCATCCCAGCCAACCAGGAACTGCTTGTGTGGTACTGCTGTGAATTTGCAGATAGACTTCACTATCCTTCATCTGGGGACCTGGGAATGAATCTCCGTAAGTAAATGCATGTGTAAATAGCAGGGAATGTTTGGAATGTAACTAGCACTGCCTGTATGATCCAGTTATAAAACCTGTCATTAAATGAGTGCAACAACAAAAATTTCTGACAGCAGGTAGCTTGTGTTTCTCCTATCTTGCAAATGTCTCTGTAAACTCCGTGTTGCTCAGTTGGCCTGAAAACTCATGACTTCACACGTTCTCTTATTGGTGAGCCCACATAGTATATATTATATTTAAACTACACATTAAAACAGAATGGACCTGTGTTCATGAGTTGGGGTCCAATGATTTCAGCACACAGAGATCCTTTTTATTTAAGTGAATAGTAGAATGCTGACAGTTAAATGGTTACACTATTTTTTCACACGTTTACAGACACCACATAAACCAATGTGTGTTTTTATTCTCCGGCAAACTATTTGTAGCAATTTCTCTAGAATTTCTTGTTCACTTCCTTTCTTAGGGTAAAGCTGATTTCATCTCTTGGCCTAAAAAGATATCTGTGTCAGTTACTGTCAGTTTCTAGTCTCTGGCTTTTTTTTTTTTTATTTATTTTAAAAAAACTTTCACCTTCTGGCTTGCTTCAATACAAAACATAATATCTTAAAAAGCTCAGAGTGTATGTTGCTGTATGCCACAATACACTAATAGGTTTTATTGAGCTTTACTACACAATTATTTTATCTTTTTTAAAAGTTATAGCACATCTTGATTTCATCATTTTGCCCTATGGTAACAGACCTATCAGAGCTCTGTTTCAGAAGTAAAATTATTACTATATGAATATTAGGCACTTGTCCCTGAATCTCCTCTTTAAATGCAATACTGTGTGTCTGTGTGCCCTTTATTACAATTTCTAGCTCTGTTTGGCAGGTACAGACTGACTTTTTTATGAATATTCTTTGAATAAGCAAACAACCAAGCATTTTTGTTTTTTTTGTTTTGATTTTTTTTTTTGGCTGGCATTACTTATGCACACACTGAAATGGAGGTTAAAATGTAATTGTATAGTAGTGTATTCATACAATTGGCAGTAAATACTTTTTGTTTTGTCCCACCATGTCCTTGTTTTTCATGTTGGTTTAAAAGAAACACAACTGAACTTTTTCTGTCACGCCCAGTGAAAGGCAGATTGGAATAATGAGCACTATTTATTTTTAACTAGTTATCTGTCTGCTTCTGAACAAGCTAAAGCAATCCATTGGATCAAAACTTGGTGTCAGCAGGAGTGTGTGCCTTGGCTTAGGGACATATCACAGGGTATAGTGCCAGGGGTGACCCCTTCTGCTATCAGTGTACATGGTCCTGCTGCTAACACAATGAATTTAAATAGTTCACACTAGGAATTGCAGTATAGGGTACTAAACCAATAGGAACTGCAGCTGTGTGTGATAAACTGTCATTTTTTTTTTCTTTTGTTTACACATAAACTTTTACCTTTTTGATAAAAAGATTATATTTTTTGTTGTTGTTGATAGAGAGTAACCTATTGCCATAAGGTGACCTCTCCAATTCTTATATTTCAGAGCAAAGTCTAATAATCACAGAAGGGCAGATTTCAAGGAAAGAGGTGATGCATCAAAAAGCCCCACCCAAAAAGGAGCACAGCGTAAAAGAAATCTTAAAAGACACAAATCCATCTACACCCAAGGACATTCTACTGACTAGTGTCTCCCAAGAGAAAGAAACTGCAGACCCCTTTAGAACTTCGAGCTCTGAAAGATCTTTTGTTCCAAGAATCGTTTATCCATTCCGCGCCCACATTCATGAGGAATATTTAAAGGCCCCTGTGGGGTATGGACTAGAGAGATCAAATTATGTCATGCATTCACCAATTCAGCCATCCTCTCCACCAAGTCCCTCAGCAAGAAGCAGCCCTGACCAAAGCTTTAAAAGCTCATCTCCTCATGGTAGCCCTGGATCTGCAGTGTCGCCACATCATCCATCCCAGGATCACAGACAATTCTATCCCTTCCTAAATAGACCATACAGCACTGAAGGACTAGCATCATTCCCTAGCTATGCACCCCCAACCAGTCATCTGCCACCACCTTTTTTATCTTCCTACCACTCTTCCTATCCCAAGTTCTTGTTACCACCTTATGGTCTTAACCCACTGAACAGTATTAATGCCATGAATAATTTCAATATTCTACCAAGAATGTACCCATTTTATGGCAGTATGCTTGGAGGTGGAAGCCTTTCACATCACATGTTAAACCCTGCATCCCTTCCAGGTTCTTTGCCCCATGAAGGGGCCCGCAGGCTGCTTCAACCTGACCAACCTCGGGACTTTCTCATTCCTGCACCCAATAGTGCCTTTTCTATCACAGGGGCTGCCGCTAGCCTGAAAGACAAGCAAATCAGCCCAACAAGTGGATCTCCCACTGCTGGCACAGCGGCAAGTTCTGAGCATGTCATGCAACCTAAACCTACCTCAGCAGTGATGACCACAAACAGTGATGAGGCCATCAACCTGATCAAGAGCAAAAGAAATATGACTGGCTATAAGACTCTTCCATACCCACTTAAAAAGCAGAATGGAAAAATCAAATATGAGTGCAACATTTGCTCAAAGACATTTGGTCAGCTCTCAAACCTGAAGGTAAGATCTCTTGCAAACAGCTTTTTTTTCTGTGTGCTGAGTATCTGCAGGCATCACTGTTCTGCTGTGGCAATTTGTAATATGTTCTTCTTCTTACAGGTGCATCTCCGTGTTCACAGTGGTGAGCGACCATTCAAATGTCAGACTTGCAATAAGGGATTCACGCAGCTAGCACACCTACAGAAGCACTTTTTAGTACACACAGGGGAGAAGCCTCATGAATGTCAGGTGTGTAATTTGATGGGAACATATTGTTTGTGTATGTCACTGGGTTAATATCCAAATGGGGAGCTTTAAAGGCTTATATATGGATGAATATAATGTATGACCTGATTGTCAATGTGTGTGTTGTGAAGACAGTTGGGTAGATTTACTAAAACTGGTCAATTCAGAATCTGGTGGTAGCCAATCGGCTTCTAACTTCAGCTTGTTTAGTTAAGCTTTGACAATAAAACCTGAAAGCTGATTGGTTTCTTTGCAGAGCTGCACCATGCTTTGCACTCTCCAGATTTAGTAAACAACCCCCTGTGTGTTCTACAAATGTGATTCCCAAGACTCAAAGTTTAGTTAGAGGGAGCCCGTTCTGTTGGACCTTTGACAACCGCTGTTCTGTCTGTTGATTTCAAAGACTGGTTGCTGGCCACAAACAATTCAGTCTTTTCTCAAAATCCATTCCCCTATGTCCTGTTTGTCTGTTATATTTATATGGAATAACATAATGCAGCAGAGAAGAAAACTTTATACTCTGAGGTAGATTTATATTAAAGATTGTAACATTACCCCTCACTCAGTGACTTTAATTGTACAACCTTTGTTTGCCATTAGACACACAGCACACATATCTGACAGCTGACATTGTATATGGTGAAGCACTATTAAATAGTTGTTCTGTGACCCCATACACATCAAGATATTTGTACAGTTCAAGCTAAACTTAAGAGTGTACAATTGAATTGTAACCCATGTGACTAGAAAATGTAAGGGTTGATAATAGATTTTGGTGCAAATGGGAATTGACACTTTTTTTTTTTCTTAATTTGCTGATATGCACTGGAGTTGTTCTCCACCCCACTTCACTGCCACGCCCTTTTTATTTAATTTTTCTTAACAGTGCAGGTTTTGTACATTCGTATCACCTTTGGGTAAAATGGGAAGTCAGGCAGCTAGTCTATGTTTAAAGTAAACCTGTCATATAACAAACACACAGCCTGTCCTTACACAGATCTGTGTCTAGAATTACTTGTTGCCCCAGTGTTTTGGTCATTAATCCCAAAATAAGGACAGATAAAGACTTCTGTTTTTGCTGTGCCTCTGCTGATGCTGAATGGCTGCTTTAAGATAATAAAGCTAGTAGGTCAGCCTAAAATCCAGGCAACTAACATTTTCAGCAGAGAGATTAGTAGTGGCACAAGACATCAGAGTTTATAAGGTTTAGGTTAATACATGTTCACACTCCACTGTAGCTGGCCTTAGTTCTTTGCAGTATTGGGGCCCAATATGTAAACTATTATGTTAATAATATTGCCGCCTTATACATTCCATTGATACACATCTAAAGTTATTGGTTATTGTTGGGTAATATTTTATGCAATTGTTTTGATTGTCAAAGGGCCACACTGAAACCTATATTTTCTGTTTAGGTATGCCACAAACGGTTCAGCAGCACAAGCAATCTAAAGACTCATCTCCGACTCCACTCGGGAGAAAAGCCCTACCAGTGCAAGCTGTGCCCTGCAAAGTTCACCCAGTTTGTGCATCTCAAACTGCACAAACGGCTTCACACAAGAGAACGACCACACAAATGTGTTCACTGCCACAAAAGTTACATCCACTTATGCAGCCTCCATGTTCACATGAAGGGAAACTGTCCTGTGTCCCCAAGACCAGGCCTTACCAGAGAGGACCTCACTGTCATCAATGAGGAGATTGAGAAGTTTGACATCAGTGACAGTGCAGACAGACTGGAGGACAGTGACATGTCACCCGCTGTGGAGAAAGAAATATTGTCCCTTCTCCGACGGGAAATAGAAGGTGCAAGTATGAAAGTACCTCTTCCCAGGAGCCTGGGAAATGGACTCCTTTCTTCTGGGTGCAACTATTATGAACAGTCAGACTCTGTAGTTATGAAGCTGGCTCACAGCTCCCCGCTACCTCTGTTACCTGTTAAGGTCAAGCAAGAAACCATTGAACAAATGGACTCCTAACAGACTGTAGGAACAAGTGTTATTTATGGGACATTGAGGTGCCCACAGCAGGTTCATGTACATATTTAAATGCTGCAACACGGTTTTGACTTCTCAGAGATAAGAATTCTCCCAAAAGACCAACCCCAAACTCCAAGAAGGAACTCCGAGATAACGTATTCTCAGGGCAGGGATAGAGACAGGGATATGGCTATTGCCTAATCACTTAATATTATTATTATTATTATTATTGTTCTTATTATTGAAAGACAATCATTTATCTGTAATTATTTGTTATTGAAAAGTACGTCATAATTTATTATGCAATTTATCCTTAATAGAGCAATAATTTGAAAATTGTTTACAATGACAGGAAAAAAAAAATCATTGTAATTTGAATATATAGATATATAATTGTGTACATATTTTAATGTGGCCATTGATGTAGATATTTTTTTATTATTATTTAAATAAGTGTGAACCTTGATACACCTCTAGGATCTCCATACCAATGAACAATATTTTGTTGCCAAAGTTGGACATTTAGATTTGTGAATTATGTTTTGTTTGCTTGGTAGTACAAGGTAGAGACTCTTATTTTTTTTTTTTTTTGGTTGGTTATTGCTCTGACGTAGGGCACATTATGTACAGAATTTCTGCTACTGAGAGCATTAGCAAAGTGCGAGTGAAACATAGCTGTACACTTCTTGACATTTTCTGTAGCCACCAATTTCAATTTTTTTCCCTACTCTACACTGTTCTTAAAGTCAAACTGGCTTAAGCATCTAGATGCAAATATCTTCAAATTTATTTATATGGTGATATGATCAAGGCATCTCTAGGAAAAAAAAAAAGAAATTGTCCCTTTTTTTTTTTTTTTTTTTTTTTTTTTTTTTTTAATCTCCAGGATTGGCTACGTTCTTATGGTCCTGTTAATCGTAGACACGGGTAATTTTCTCTGTTACTGGCACCCATCTCATTTATTTTTCTATGAGTCATTTCCTTCAGTATTTTTGTGTCTTTGTACATTTATTTGTTGTGGTTAATTTAAAAGAAAAGGGCATTGAAAAAGTTGTTCGACAATTTACCTCATTGCTTGTGTCCAGTGGTTCAGAGGGAGCTGGTTTAACCAAAGCTTTGTGACTTTAAATGAGTAACCAAATATATACAGTTTAAACTGCAGAGATTCCTTTTTATTTGCTGTTGCTTTGCTCTCTAACTCCAAAGATAATGCATTGGCAGGGCTGGACACTTGGGAATGTACAGTGACCCATAAAGACAATTATATTGCACTGCCTTGCAGATATGTCATCGGCACAAATACCTACCTGATGATGGGAGGCACATGTCCAGTTTGGACAATGACTCCAGGTCTCCCCCTGCTGGCAGGATCATTTCATTTTAAACCAAACTTGTGCAGATTCCCAAGGATAGCCAGTCTTGTCTGTTAGCATCCAAATTTGGCAAAGCAGCTTTGTGAATAGCGTAAACCTAAGATATGCACAAATCAGTTGCACTGATTTCAAAACCACTTTTGGCATTGTGCACTCTACAAAAAGGATTGCATACTGAAGCCGTCCACCCAGTCAATGCCAAAATATCCTGAAAAGGTACCAGAAAAGACAGCTTTAAAGTGGATCCTTGCTTGCTCCTTTTTTAACAGGCAGCCTGTGATCTAAACTAATGTAGCAAGAACTTAGTATTAATGTAATATATATACCAAAGTATCACTACTGTCTCTGGACACATGCTTCCCTTACTTGTTGCCAGTAGTGCTTTTCTATACTGCTTCAAAGGCTTTTAAGGTATCGCTTTCTCTTTTATTTTATTTTTTTTTCAAAATGCATTGTTTTCTTAGGAGTTTATCAAACGTGAATGTAGCAAACAGTGGTTTTTTTTTTCTCTTTGTTTTTCTAATGAAAATTTGACCAAAGTTTAACTGGCTTTTTACTGTTTAGAACAACGAATTTCTTATGTTTACATATCGGTTTACATTGTTATTTATGTGCAAATTGTCAAAAGATGTAAATTAAATCTAATTGTGCATTTCTTTATATATAAATGGTCTTGTCATTCTTGGATGTGACATTAATCTTATTTGCAAGTTTAACAATAGGGATGAAAAAAACAAAATTAGGATAAACTAAGAGGTAAAATTAAGGTGGTTTAAAGTGATTCTAAAGCCTTGGTATTTTTTGGCTTAATGCATTCCCTACATTAAGGTTAATAAACACCTCATAACCATTTCCCTACCCCCAGCCACCCAACCACTTACCTGAGCCTTTCAGTGATCCAATGTCTTGGCTTCAGGTCTTCTCTCCCCTCCCTTTTTCTTCTCACAGGAAATTGGGCAGGAGCAATTGGCTTCCACTGCTGTTAATAAAATGCTTTGAGGAGGGAGTGGGAGACGGGGCTGAATCGCACTGTGTGTGTCTATAGGCGCAGACTGCATGGCTGAGGAGGGAGCCTGAAGGTCTCCCCCACCCCACCCCCGTTCACCCCTATCAAGTGACTTGCTATGGGGGCACACCAAGAATAGGAGCCTGGAACGCCAGCACAGGACCCAAGAAGAGGAGATTCAGGGTCAGTCTGCAAAACCATTGCACAGAGCACATAGGTATGACATGTTTATTTTAGTTTTAAAAGAAAAAGTGTTTACAGTTTAAGGGTGCAATGCAGTGTTAATTTTGATGTCAAATTTCAATTTAGTTTTAGTCCTATTTTTAGTCATCTGAATTGTTTTCGTTGACTAAAATCTCCAATAAACCTGCAACTTTTTAAAATATGAAAAAAAAAACCTGTAAGCTCTATTGGCTGTAATGCTATTGCACATATTTATTTTATTTCAGGTACTTATATAGCGCCATCAATTTACGCAGCGCTTTACATATGTATTGTACATTCACATCAGTCCCTAACCCTCAAGGGGCATACAATCTAAGGTCCCTAACTCACATTCATACACATACTAGGGCCAATTTAGACAGGATCCAACTCACCTACCAGCATGTCTTTGGAGTGTGGGAGGAAACCGGAGTACCCGGAGGAAACCCACGCAAGCACAGGGAGAACATGCAAACTCCAGGCAGGTGGTGCCGTGGTTGGGATTCGAACCAACGACCCTAGTACTGCCAAGGCGGAAGTGCTAACATATTTACATGAATATAAAAACTTTAACCATTCTCTGTTAAAAAGGAGCTATAGGCTATTTCTTTCTCCCCCACCCCCCCCCCCCCCCCCCCCCCCCACCCCCCCCCCCCCCCCCCCCCCCCCCCCCCCCCCCCCCCCCCCCAAAACAAAACAAAAAAATTAGCTGCTACAATACTGTAGCTGATGACTTTTAATATAGGGACACTTACCTGTTCAGGCATCCAGCGATGTCCTCCCCTGAGCCGATTCTTTAATTGCCTGCAGGTGCAGGTGCTGGCATGTTCAGTAAGGGAACCTGGAAGTGAAGCCTTGCTTCTTTACAGCTGGCTTCCTACTGTGTGTGATGTTAAAGTGTTTTTGTTTTGTTTTTTTCTTCACATAAAATTTTTATATATTCATGCTTAACTGTTCTATACTAGGATATAACAGAGGGGCGCCTTACCACCTCTTGTGTGTGTCACCATAGCAAGCTGCATGCTATTAGGGCACACATGTGGATGCATGCTGGGCTGTGTGTATTCTCTTCTCTGGATTTGATTGACAGCAGGAGGAGCCAACTGTTCCCTGCTGATATTAGTCTGCCCCATGAGAGCAGGGAGAGAGACCAGTGCTGCTGAAGATGGGCACAGTACTGGATCGAGACAGGACTCCAGGAATAAACGGCAAATAAAATATTTTTTTTACCTTAACCACTTGCTGCTTTGCAGGGTACATTTGCTGTGGCAGGGCAGCAGCTGCAGGCACAGTGGTGTATGTGGGGTTTGTGCTATTATTTTGAACACAACTGTATATACATACAGTGTGTTGAAAAAAGTGAATAAAGCTCAAAATCCTTCTAATAGCTATTATTTCCATACACACAAATGCATTGGGACACTACACATTCTATTCCAAATCAAAACATGAAGAAAAATATATCAAATTTGTGTTGTTCCTCTAAACAAAATGGAAGAAAAGTGAATATTAGACTGTTCAAAAAAATAGCAGTGTTTGTATTCTTCTTTACAAATTCAAACATTCACTATATACACTGAAAAATGTTTGAAGATTTTGCTTTCCTTTGAATCACTTAATTAATATTTTGTTGTATAAGCACTGTTTCTGAGAACTGCTGTACATCTGTGTTGCATGGAGTCAACCAACGTCTGGCACCTGTGAACAGGTATTCCAGCCCAGGATGATTGGACTACATTCCACAGTTCTTCTCTATTTCTTGGTTTTGCCTCAGAAACTGCATTTTTGATGTCACCCCACAAGTTTTCTATTGGATTAAGATCCGGGGATTGGGCTGGCCACTCCGTAACGTCAATCTTGTTGGTCTGGAACCAAGATGTTGCACGTTTATGGTGTGTTTGGGGTCGTTGTCTTGTTGGAACACCCATTTCAAGGGCATTTCCTCTTCAGCATAAGGCAGCATGACCTCTTCAAGTATTCTGATGTATTCAAACTGATCCATGATCCCTGGTATGCGATAAATAGGCCCAACACCGTAGTATTATGAGAAACATCCCCATATCATGATGCTTGCACAACCATGCTTCACTGTCTTCACAGTGTACTGTGGCTTGAATTCAGTGTTTGGGGGTCGTCTGACAAACTGTCTCCGGCCACTAGACCCAAAAAGAACAATCTTACTTTCATCAGTCCACAAAATGTTGCGCCATTTCTCTTTAGGCCAGTCAATGTGCTCTTTAGCAAATTGTAACCTCTTCAGCACATGTCTTTTTTTCAACAGTGGGACTTTGCGGGGGCTTCTTCCAGATAGCATGGCTTCACATAAGCGTCTTCTAATTGTAACAGTACTCACGGGTAACTTTAGACCTTCTTTGATCTTCCTGGAGCTGATTGTTGGCTGAGTCCTTGTCATTTTG